TAATACTTGTCGAGCCCCTGGTGAGACATTTTATTTGACATACTATCTTATGCCATGCTATTGTACTTTCCGCGTATTGAGACAATTTTTAAAACATTTGACATTACATTATTTTTATTAAATAAACTAGCAAAAATTTGCAATATATTGTCATGTTCCCGTACCTTTTTAATGGTTATAAATACTATATGTACACACTGAGAGATCTGGTTTGCTAGAAAGAACTGAAACAGAAAACTAATAAAACTGTCAAAATTAGTCTACTAATCTACTAGTTTTGCAATTTTTTCGATACAATTTAACAAAAAAAAAAAAAAAATTGAATTTCTCATTAAGCGTATAATTGAGACCTGAATATGACAGTCCAATAAATTTCGAATTTAATTAAAACGAATCACTATGTTAACATGTCAGTGCAGCACAGTAAATGTTTATTGTATTATTGTTGTTTTTTGTCCTACACCCACCATCATAACATAATTATTAGACGGTGTCAGTGTCAAATTCCATCCGACATTTTGTGTTTAGGTTTCCATATTTGGTATAAGTCAAGCACATATTTTTTGTTAAAATAAAATTTCACTACAGTGCAATGTGAAGAACTTTTCCATGGTAATAGACAAAATCATTATTATACCTTATAAGACAGCAACGTCGATAGTGCGAATAATAAATAGAAAGAATAAGCAACACCATGGTACAATAATGAAAAGGTAGGCTAAATTGGCAAAATTTTGCAAGTAAAGAGACTGACCTGTATGGATTGTCATGTCAGAATTACTATCATAACAGATGCTAAAAGTCGTTTTGTATCAAATTGACAAAACAACTTGTTGAATTGATTTTTAATAAACAAACAACACGCGAAAATTGATTTAAGGTCAACATTTCTTTTCAAAATCATCTTCTATATTTCTCTAAAGATTGATTTACTACATAAAGTGTAAATTTTGTCCATACATACATTTTAATATATATTTGGATTACAACTGAATTTTAATCTTTTTTACTATATTCTATGTAAATTAACTAAATTATTGAAAAGAACACACACACACGTAACTTAATTTGACATGTTAAGAAAGGCAAATAAAAAATTGAAATCGATTTGTAACAGTGCCCTACCTAGATTTCATTGTACCATGAGCGACACCGCATTATATTGTCGTATATTTTGTTTTCTAAACTTCCAAATTTTAGAATATCTTATAAATGTGTATATTTTGATTTCTATTTCAAAGGGATGTTGAGTTTTCTAGGTTTCCTAGCGATACATTGAGTTGTTGCAAATTTTGTCAAATTAAACGTTGAGAGGAAGGATATAAAAGTCTTTAAACCCTGTCTTACCCCTGGTTTACCATTCTTTTCCACTAATAAATAGACAGAATAATGGGATTAAGCTTTGCAAAAACAAAATACTCGGGTAACCCGAACAAAAATGCCAACACTGTTCTAAAATTTTTAAAAATATTTTTTTCTGCATGTTGTATTTTATACACCAACTAGCTGACCCTGTCCGCGTTGCCGGCCCGTAGTTTTAGTCTATTATGCATATTTGTCAAAGCATAATTATTCAAAGATATGACTGTTATAAGTGTTCATGTACTGGTCGATTAATTTTTAGTTTTTAGTCAAATGAGCAGTAATTTGGAATTTACTGTATTTTTTACACCTCATAATTGAGGGCTGAATGATTTAAGAATAGCCAAAGTTAATTACTTTTTTAAACCCATTAACACCTCAGATTGTGCATTAGAGTTCTCATAAGTCCGCCAAAAGGTGGACTTGTGGGGGTACTATTACATGGAGAAAATTCTAAAATTTGAAGATATGTTGAAATTTTTGTGTACGATTTTCAAAACCCCACCCCCCCCCCCCCCCCCCCCAAATACACATTTTTAGCCAAATCCTTTGAAATAAGGTAAAATCAGGAAGTACCTTCATATGGGCACTACTGCGAAACATCGACCTACATTGAAAACTTTCTTCACCCCTTATAATCCAAGATGACAAATAGAGGCCAAATCGAAAATATAGCAGAACAACATAGCATGTCAAACTGAAAAAAAATCACGTGATTTAAATAAATAAAAATAATTTTATCCATCTCATAATTGAGGGCAGACTGATTTCAGGATAATCAAATATAATTACTATTTTACTCCAATTACCGTAAGATGAGAACTAATTTTATTTGTCATTTAAATTGTAAATTGGAGACGCCATAAAGTCCATATTTTTCATCATAGTATAATTCAATGACGATTCAACAAATATTCGGTCCCGTGCTACTTTCTTATATTTATAACTAGCTGGCCCGGTCCGCGTTGCCGGCCCGTAGTTTTTGTTTATTATGCATATTTTTAAAAGAATAATTATTCACAGATATGACTGATGTAAGTGTTTGCGTACTGGTCGATTAAAAGTGTTTTAAAATATCTGTACCCATTTATAAGCCGTGGACTTCAATATTTAAACCGTGTGCTTCAAATGTGTGGATGTGCTATACAAATCTATTAAAAAGTATATATGAATCTTATCCCCATGTAAGGGATCAAATTAATTTTTAGTATGGTAAAAATCGTAGCAAAATTTTACAGTCAAATGAGAAGCAATTTGGAATTTACTGTATTTTGTACACCTCATAATTGAGGGCTAAATGATTTAAGAATAGGCAAAGTTAATTACTTTTTTAACCCCATTAGCACCTTAGATTGTGCATTAGAGTCCTCATAAGTCCCCCTAACCATGTCGGTCTGTTTGTCCGCCAAAAGGTGGACTTGAGGGTATACTATTGCATGGAGAAAATTCTAAAATTTGTGAATATGTTGACATTTTTGTGTAAGATTTTCACCCCCCGAATACACATTTTTAGCCAAATCCTTTGAAATATGGTAAAATCAGGAGGTACCTTTATATGGGCACTACTCCGAAACATCGACCTACTTTGAAAACTTTCTTCTACCCCTTATAATCCAAAATGGCAAATAGAGGCCAACTCAAAATTATAGGTATTTCACACCCATTACCGTAAGATGGGAATTTTTTTATTTTCCATTTAAATTGTAAATTGGAGACCCCATAAAGTCCATATTTTTCATCATAGTATAATTCAATGTCGATTCAACAAATATTCAGTCCCGTACTACTTTCTTATATTTGTAATTTGTTCATGTTCCCACAATTTATTTCATATAGATGTACATTCCAAATCTACGTTCCCAACCAATATTCTCTTGGGAGTTACAAATTCAATAGAATACAAAATTTTCCTTTCTGACCACACATTAGGTGTGAAAGTGGACTTGGGGATACTCCAATGTGGAGACTTTACTTAAATAATTCCTATGTGGCAATTATCTGTATGATGGTTCCCTTCCCCAGGGTAGCATAACAAAATTTTTTAGCCAAATCAATTGATGAATGTGTTCAAGACCAATATGGGCCCTACTCTAAAAATTTCAAATTTTATGCGAAGAGGTTCTGTACCCCCTTAGACACAAAGATGCCTAATAAGGGCCAAAAAATAAAAAGGGACTAAGACCCCAAAATAGCTTGAATCATACGATGGTTATATAAATATAAAATCGGGTTGTACCCTTATCCGTGAGTTATGATCTATATCATGACCTGCAAAAGCGATTTAAGGTATCTTGAATGTTTGGGAAGTCCCAAAGTCCCATTCGCTCTACTATTTTTGGTATTTTCCTGATTGTACTCCCAAAGAATTTTGCATTTTGAGCTCTCATTGGACGGATTATTGTCACATAAAAAAGGTATGTTCACGCTTTGAGATGAGGCCCATTAGGCTTTTTCGGTCATTTTGATTATTTAAATGTGTTCGCATCTTCCAGCTGAACCACGATATAGGCCCTGGAGTTGAAAGGTAGATGTCAGTTTACATTCTATTTCGCACTTATTTTGGTGAAAAATTGTATAGTGAAAAATTATTCTTCATTTTGTTCACAAAAAATCAACTGAATTCAATATGATAATACAAATTGAAAAAAAAAATTGACAAAAAAAGAATAACAAATTGTAAAAATATTCAACTTGTTAGCCGATTTTTTACAGCAAATGTTTAAAGGTCCTTACAAAGTTTGTCAATAGAATGTACTATTATTTTAAAAATCGATTCCATTGAAAAAAAAATTTTTTTTCGATTTTTTCCCGATTTCAGAATTTGTGCAATGAGATCTCTTTTTCGTGAGTTTTTAGCGATTTTGAAAAAGTAATTATCTTTTAACTTTGGTGTGACCGCGTTTAATTATTTCGATATCCTCTATTCCGTTTCGCCACCGCATAATTCGGTACTACACTTCCATGTAACCCGCCATCAATTTCAGTTCTCAAGAAATCAAGTCAATTAAATAAATTGGTATTAATATTCGAATTCAAAAATAAAATATAAAAAACACTACAAATGTACATTAGAAAAAAGTAAGTCAAAATGGAAAAAAATCATGCAAAATAAAACATTACTATTGTACAATTCAAAAGTCAAAATGAAAATGTTAATATATCACATTTTTACGCGATTTTTTTGGATATTATCCTTTTCGGAAAAGAGACAATTCCGAATTTGTTTGAATCGTGAAAATCTGTCCAGCGGTTCTTAAGTTATAAGCGTAGTAACTAACACAACTTCCTTTTATATATATAGATTTCCAAATATGTACAATTTTGTAATGTAATGAATGTAATGAAAGTGAAAACATATTTTTTTTGTTCAGAGTCTTGTACAAATAAATCCTACACTAGCATCGCTTACAATATTATTTGTATTTGTTGTAGTTTTGCTTCTACCATCCAATAAATTTTTAATTTTTAATATGAATCGCTCTATGGCAGAATGTCTTAATTTCACAGTTACATAGTTACATTTGAATGCCTTAATACCATAGTTACACCAAATGAATTGAAATGCAATCAGAAAAAACCATTGTTTTACCAAAAAAAGTTTTTAAAATACCTTTATTTGGGTGCATAACTTTACTCACCATGCTGCCGCAGCCATCCCAAAGTAATACCGCAGAAGAAATGTTGCAGCACAAGGCCCATTAGATAACCCATCAACTAGCAATAAAGAAACATTCGGCAACTGTGGATCATATCCACACGATGTAGCATTACGCCCAGCCACAAAACGCACTGTCCATCCTATTACAACCATAATGTGACACCACATCAAAGGCCTCAACACCTGTGTATTTTTTGCGTCATTTGTTTTGGTTGTTTCGGTATCAGAAACCAAAATGCATAAAACCGTTAAGAGACCAAGACCCAGTGCTACATATGTCCAAGTACTGGTCCAAATTTCGGCAATATGTTTATCATTGGCATTGAATAAAATACTTGCTTCGCATAAAGGCGCACAGCGCCAAGATCGAGGCAATTTTACATACAGTTTTGAATGTCCGGGACATTCTAAAGTGGGAATTGTTGTTACCATTGTCTGGTGAGGTGGAGATTTTACAGGCGTAAGAGATTCTCCTATTGGTAATGTTTCCGCTGACTCTCCGGGGCCTTCCATACACATAGTTTCTTGATTATTTTGTTTTGGAAATCTGTTACAATCCAATGCTGGAGGCCAGAGGTATCCAAATCCTTGAAGAACGGGGTCGCAGCGAGAGCGAACACTTTCGCAAAGGCTTCTGCATGGTCCGATTGGTACTGGCGTTTGTAAAGTGCACATTGGCACATAAGTGGCGCAGAGGAATAGCTTCAACTGTGTACTACATACATACTCAATTAGAGGGGCGAATGATTGTAACGTGTATTCGGCATCGTTCTGGACTTCATTGCCAGCCAAGTTTGGCATTGAAGTTTCATTATAACCAATGTTTCGACACAGTTCAATACGTATTGGTTCACACTGGCGTACACCGAATTCGTTTACTGCCATCGTCAGGTGGACTCCGATCGCGAACAAAATTATTGCACTCACTGTACATTTGCTCATATTTATATTTGCCTTTGTGCGACTTTTTCCACTAAAAAAAATCTGGTATTAACTACTCAGCATAGTAATTCGATCAACATGTTGCATGAACTCCGATTAGATACTAAATGCCCAAAACAAGTTATCAAAAGCTACAACTATCCTTCTCGTGCTCAGTAAGGGTAACTGGTTTAGCTAACGATGTTCTGAATCTTCCAAAATGTCTGCTATTGAATACACACCAAACTGATTATTTGTGTCTTGTTACCTCGTTAGCGGGTAGTCGTATCCACTTTCATGTGGAGCTTATGCCGAAAGCAAACTGCTTGTTAAGGTATATCTCTTTAATAACGCACACATTTACAATCTTCTTCAAGGTAGATACAATTCAATTTCTAGCCACAGGTATCAACTGGACAAACAAGCTCGCAACCCACTAATGGTGTGTATGTAGGTTTTGCAATAATATTGTACTGGCCACCATTGATGAAATAATATTATAATTTAAACAGTATCTTTTCGTTGTCTTCTGTTTCTTTAACATTTAGAATATCCCAAATGTTTATGCTGTGGAATTTGTTTATGTTATCGTCTATTTTTGGAATTTATGAGGGATCTAGGGACAACTGAGTCGATTTTCGACTACTCGAGAGAGTTGTCAAATTTCAAAACATTTAAAGTTGCCATCGTCTTATGTTTAATGAGATCGACATGTTGCCAACCATTTTGTGCTTATTAATATCATGTTTAGACAAACATTGTTCGCATTTCTCTTTGTTCGGTAATTTTAAATAAAACACATTCGATTTTTTCTATGTGCATAAAAAACTAATGCATTTAGTGATGAATTCTTTTAATAAAAATATTTATAAAAAATACCAAAAACTCGGACTATTTTCTTTATAGATTAATTTTTTCTCAAGGAGACGAAATGGGTGAATAAAGAACCCGTATTTAACATTCGAAAAAGAGTGGTAGGAAAAAATATACACGAATATTTATGATTGCTGTGTTCCAGAACGTGGAAGAATGTACTAGTTTTGCAATTTTTTTCGATATCATAAAGGAAAAATCGGTGAATGAAATAAAAAGTTCTGGAACAGACCTGATTTAATAGTACAATTAAAACAGGTAGAAAAAATTGTATTTATGAGGAAGTACTATCCCGGTGTGGCAGAACATTGAATATTTAGTTCCGAGCACATATAACGATACCCATCAATATTCGATATTTTAATAATCTTAGTCACATTTACCCACATAATTGTTTCATATTTGATATTTTAGAAGATTTGATAGATGACAATCCTTAAAGTATAAAATTGTCTATAGAGGTCCCGTTTAGGTATGGCCCATATAACGGCCTCACTCACTTTATGATGTTCGATAAGTTTAACTGCATTATCTAAACGGTCTTACTGGTATATGGAGTTTAAAGTGGAACACGTTTGAATTCAGATACTTTTATATAAAAATGTGTCCTTTATCCTAAGGTGAAGGTTACAAAATAAAAAATTGACAATAAAGGGGCATAAAATAAAAAAATTGTAATTGTATGATCGCATGAGATTACCTTGGGAATTGTACCATGGGTTGAGTCATACATATAAAAAATCAAGGTAGGTCAACTCTAATATTTTATTTTTTTAAATTAACATTTGTGTGTAAGATTTTTTCAATCGTATAAAAGTTGTTTAAAAAATATTTAAATTTGGATTAGAAAATTTGTATCACAACTCTTGTATGAAAAAATCTACCCTTTTGTGGCAAAATAGTGAGTTTAAAAATAACTACACCTTTTTAAGATGTAATTCGAAAAATTTTATTTGAAATTTGAAAAATGCTTTCCATTTGTTATTCGTATCGTTTTAATTGTAATTCGATTTTTTTTGTCACACTCCATTTTAATTTTGAATGATTTCATTTGTAATTCGATTTTCTCAATTTTTAATTCGAATTTTATTTGATTTTTTTTTTTTTTTACATATTTAGTTTAACCGTCTAATCGTCTCGTGGACTACAGTAATAGTCTTATCGATTTCTTCACAGAAGCGGCAAAATCCGAAAACTACCACTTTAATGAAAATCGTTATATGGGGACTATAAGAAGACGTGGACCTGCATACGAATTTTTTGCCATAAGTTGTAGTACCCATTAAAATCTTTCAATACGACATTTGAAGCGATTCCGGTGTATAATGTTGCTGGAGGTACAGTTATATGGGGGCTTTACGAAGACGTAGACCTGCATACAAAATTTTTGGTAACCATATATATATATATATATATATATATATATATATATATATATATATATATATATATATATATATATATATATATATATACTAGCTGGCCCGGTCCGCGTTGCCGGCCCGTAGTTTTAGTCTTTAATGCAAATTTTGCATAGCATAATATTTCACAAATCTAGCTCATAAAGGTGAACAAATTTTAATATAAATATTGATTCGACTAAATAGAAATAAATAACTATGGAAGGAGGGCAAAATAATTTCTAAATAGTCAAAGTTAATTACGCTTTTACACCCATTACCATAGCATCTCAAATTGCGCATTAGAGTCTCCAAAAAGTCTCTGTTCTTGTTCATGGTAAAATTCAATAACGATTAAACAATACCCGCGTTGTTATCCGCCAATCGGTAAACATCACTATAGATCGGCGGGCCTGGGGACTATATGGTGACTGTACCAAAATATTTACGTATGTTGACATTTTTCTGTAAGATGGTTCTCTACTCACAAAGTAGCCTAAATACAGCAAATAATGGCCAAATCAGTTGAAAAACGTGGCCAAGACCACGGTCACAGCTGTCAGGTCAGGGATACATTTATATAAGGGTTATACCAAAACGTGGCCCAGCCAATATTCTCTTGGGGGTTACAAATTCAATAGAAAACAACATTTTTTTTCTGACCACCAATTAGATGTGAAAGTGGACTTGGGAATACGCCAATGTGGGGACTTTACTTAAATAAATTCCTATATGGCAATTATCTGTATGATGGTTCCCTACCCCAGAGTAGCATAAATACAACCTTTAGCCAAGTCAATTAATGAATGTGGTCAAGACCAAAATGGGCCCTACTCTGAAAATTTCAAACTTTATGCGAAGAGGTTCTCTACTTCCTTAGAAACAAAAATGCCAAATAATGGCTAAAATATTAAAAAAGTGACCAAGACACCAAAAGTAGCTTAAATCATACGATGGTTATATAAATATGAAATCGGGTTGTCCTTATCCGTGAGTTATGATCGATATCATGACCTATCTTGAAGGTTTGGGAAGAATTTCTGGAAGGATAGAAATCTTTATCTTACTAAAAGTCCCATTCGCTCTACTATTTTCCACCCTTTATATTTGGTATTTTTCTGATTGTACATTGGACGGATTATTGTGACAGGAAAGAAGTAGTTCCACGCTTTGAAATGATCCCCATTAGGCTTTTTCGGCAATTTTTGTTTGTTAAAATGTGTTCGCATCTTCCAGCTGAACCACGATGTCGGCCCTGGAGTTGAAAGGTAGATGTCAGTTGACATCGTATTTCCTACTTATTTCATTTTTTGGTGAAAATTTGTATATAGTGAAAAATTATTCTTTATTTTGTTCGCAAAAAAATTACTGAATTCAATTAGATAATACAAATTGAAAAAAAAAATTGACAAAAGAATAATAACACATTGAAAAAAATTTTCAACTTGTTCGCTGATTTTTTACAGTAAATGTTTAAAGATCCTTATATAGTTTGTCAATAGAATGTACTTCTATTTTAAAATTCGATTCCATTAAATTATTTCGACATCATCTATTCCGTTTCGCCACCACATAATTCGGTACTACGCTTCCATGTAACTCGCCATCAATTTCATTTCTCAAGAAATCAAGTCAATTAAATAAATTGGTATTAATATTTGAATTCAAAAAAAAAAAAAAAAAATATATAAAAAACACTACAAATGTACATTAGAAAAAAGTAAGTAAAAATGGAAAAAATCATGCAAAATAAAACATTACTATTGTACATTTCAAAAGTCAAAATGAAAATGTTAAAATATCACATTTTTACGCGATTTTTTTGGATATTATCCTTTTCGGAGAGGAGAAAATTCCGAATTTGTTTGAATCGTTAAAATCAGTCCAGCGGTTCTTAAGTTATAAGCGTAGTAACTAACACAACTTTCTTTTATATATATAGATATATATATATATATATACTAGCTGAACCAGGTGCGCTTCGCTACCCCTTTTGATTTTATATGCATTCAAAATTTTATTTACAAATATATGTTGGTTAAAAAAACAAATTTAAAAATTAAAAAAAAAAACTATTGCACTACTTTAATGCGTAAATTACCAAAACCATTAGAAAAGCAGTGACATGACATACATACACGAAGGGTTTGTCCTTCGGATTTATTTATTTCATAGCAAATACCAAGCGTGCAGTAAACTGCAATCTTTTAAAGTTGAGTGGCATTTCTATTCCAATTAGTGAATTCGGGATAGCAACATACTTCGCCGTAATAAGCGTATTTCAAATAAATTGTTGTGTTGTTTTTTAGTGTTAGCCTAAGGCGTTGTGGGTCAATGGTTCTTATTAAAATCATATGCCAATCTGATCCGATTTAAATATAATTTAAAAAAAATTACTTTTACACCAAACTCCGCCACATCTTTCATATTTCATTGAAATTGGTGCGTCAAATACGTGAAATCGGCCGAGAATATATATATGGGAGCTATATCCAAATCTTAACTAATTTCCAATTAATTTATCATCATTTTTTATTATAACCAAATTCCGCCAAACATTCTGAATTTCATTGGAATCGGTCATATATATCGTGTTTGGTGCATAATATGTATGAAATCGGCCGAAATATATATGTTAGCTATATCCAAACCTCAACTGATTTCAATGTAATTTGGCAATTTTTTCTAGTGCCAGATTTTGTCTCTCTCGCTTTGGGTGCATTAAATATTTGAAATCGGCTGAGGATATATATGGGAGCTATAATCAAATCTGAGCGTATTTGAATATAATTTGTCAAATTTATTTTTGTACCAAATTTAGCCACTCATGCCGAATTTCGTTGGAATCAAAAATACGTATCGTGTTTTATGCATCAAATATGTGAAATCGGTGGAAAATATATATGCGAGCTATATCCAAATCTGAACCGATTTTAATATAATTTGACTAATTTATTTTCTAATCAAAATCCCGTTACATATTCCAAATTTCTTTAGAATCGAACATACATATCGTGTATGGTGCATAAAATACATGAAATCGGTCGAAAATATATATGAGAGCTATATCCAAATCTGAACCGATTTTAATATAATTTGACAAATGTATATTTGTTTTAATTTCCGCTACACATTCCAAATTTCATTGAAATTGGAGATACATAGCGTGTTTGGAGCATCAAATACATGAAATCGGTCGAAAATACATATTTGGGATACATAGCGTGTTTGGAGCATCAAATACATGAAATCGGTCGAAAATACATATTTGGGAGCTATATTCAAATCTGAACCGATTTCAATTTAATTTGACAAATTCATTTTGGCTCCCAATTCCGTTACTTATTTTAAATTTCATTACAATTGGAAATACATAG